AAAACTTAAAGTTAAAAAAATAGTTTAAATCAAGCAAATATATGAACAATTGAAAATATTGAAAATTGACGGTCTACATAATACACTACAAGCTGCACTATTTTCAAGACTTTAAATCTATTTTTCTCATTTTCATATATTTAAGAGGTCGTGATGATTGAATTAACGGTTTTTTTAGAATCGAAACAATATTTTGTAATAAATTTGTGAGGTGCGCCTTAATTTGATTGTTTAGGGCCTCACCCTTATATAAAAGTTTCTTTCTTTTATAGATAGGGCGGAATAGTAGGTAGTCAGAAAACAACATACCCATAAGATGAGCATAGTTGAGATGAAGATGTTGAGATTGATGAGTGGTAAGACAAAAATGGATAAAATTCGAAATGAATACGTCCGAGATAACTTAGATGTAGCTCCAGTAGACGATAAGATGAGAGAAAGTAGATTTAAGTATGCTGATGATGATATCTTCTCAAATAGTTTGGAAAAAGCTATAATGACAATGACAATATATTGTTGTCGTGCGTCGTACATCATTCTTACTTTTTCATGGTACCCATTAACCATAGTCAAACAGTCCACATTTGATTTAATTAAATTCTTTTTTAACATGTAAGGGGTTAAGTCGTGGTGGTGGTACCCCACACCATAATTAGTATGTTGTGGTTTCCATTCCCATAAAAAAAAGAGAGAGTCTATTTTTCTTTTTATTTGGAAACGTTAATATAAGAATGCAATCTCCTTTCTCAATCTAGAGTCCCCCAGATTGAATTTCTATCTCAACCAATGGTCTTAAAAATCGCCGAGTACTCAAAAATTATTTGAGATGTGGGTAATTCCAGTTCGAGGAATCTTAAATCTCCTTATTTTTGAATTTTTGTTGTGTTTAGTGTTTTAAAATTCAGATCAGCAAGATAAATTGGCCATCTGAAAATGTGGTTTAGATTAGTGAATCGGGCGCATTCTCTTGATTCCGGTCCGGCACCGCAATTTTTAATGCGAGAGAGAGAGGTGGGCAAGAGAGAGAGGGTGGGTATAGAGAGAGAAAGGATAGGTAGAAAGACAGAGATTTCATGGGTAATGAGTAAGGGAGTGGAAATGTAGTTTATTTTTTTACAACATTTACTTTTTGATTAGAGGGTAGCAGCAAGGAAAAATCGTTGATTAGAGGGTAACAGCAAGGAAAAATCATGACAAGGTTACGAGTGTAATACTAGAAATATTGAGAGTAGAATATCTATAAAGTTCATTTTGAGGGTATCCATTTATGTATATTTTTTTAATCTTTGACCATCTTAAGAATTTGTGACCTCAAAATTACATCTTTTAATAAAAGGTGCGGTTTGTATAGAGCCTACCTTCAAATAGTGTCGAGAAATGCAGTTTCAATACTGAAAATATTTGTGATAGCCTTAAAATATATTTTAATTTTTATTTATAAAGTTTAAAGCTTCAAAAATAGTGTAGATCAATAGATCTATTTAAACTTGAAAAAATCTTGAAAATTGATGGTCCAAAAATGCGTTACATAATACATTATTTTCAAAATTTGAAATCCAATTTTTTCTCATATCCATGCATCTTGATGTTGAGATGATCAATTTGAGTATATTAACGCATCAAAACAACATCTTCTAGTGAAATTTTTGAGTTAGGCTCAAATTTGATTGTTTAGAACCTCTGTTCTATATAAACTTTTCTCTTTAATAAAACTGGGAGGGGCGCTTACTTTGTTATAAGATTGGGAGGGCCCTTACTTTAATGGTTAAAGATTTGTAACCCCCCAAAAAAAATAAAAAAACCAAAGTAGGGGCATAGTAGATATTGCTCTGCCATCCCTGTACATGGCTTCACGTACAGAAAGCAAGGCTTCCCGAGTCGGCCCTCTCGTAAACTCTATTCCCCGAGCAACCCCGTGAAGTTCTGGCCGTCCATCTCTCTTCTATCAATTTCTGCCGTCCACGTGTCCTTCTGTAAATGGCAGAGACAGCTGCGCCGCATTGACCAAATGGATCCCTCAAAAGAAAGCTCGAATCAGAACGATTAACTAGACATATGTCCGGATGCGGTTCAATTGACCTAATTTGTAAACCGGTTGGTTCAAACGTTTTATCCGGGCAGGTCTCGAGCGTTCAAAAAAGTATTAAAAAAATAAAATAAAATATAAAAAATATATTTAAAGAATGATTAAACAAATCATATTTAAATAAAGTTGAAAATTAATGAAAAAAAATTAATTTTAAAAAATCCATTTGTGTTTTAGGGGTATTTTTGAAATTTTTCAAAAAAACTATGGGAAAATGTAAAAATAAATATGGGTGTAGTTTCTATAATATTGCAACCTTAAACAATCCAATTAAGACGTACCCCTAAATTTTATCATAATATATAATTTTGGTGAAAACAATTCTTAAGATTATCTCAAAATCTATTTTCATATCTAATTATAAAATTTTAAACTCAAAAAATGGTTAAAATCTAGTATAGCTATAAACTTATGAAAATCTTGAAAATGAACACTCTAGATAATAAATTGCAAGATGTACTATTTTTGAGACTCAAAATCTTTTTTTTTTTCTATATTCCTACATCTCGATGTTGAGATGATCACTTAGGTGTCAACATTAAAACAACCTTCTCCGATGGATATTTGAGGTGCATTGGTAATTCTATGTTTTAAGATTGCGATCTTATATAAACTTTTCTAATAAATATTAATGGCCAAAACAATTTCTCTCTACAAAAACAATTTAAGAAAGAACAATAAAACCAAATTGTTTTGAAATACACTGAAATATTTTTCAAAAAAAAAATACTGACAAGATTCACTCAGGGGAGCTGGCAAGCATCCGTCCACCATGAAGTTCAATGCCTATCTTAGTAATGGCCGGAAATACCAGTATCTTGTCAGAAACCAAAACAGCAAGACTAATGATAGCTCGAACCACACCGGAGAAGCTCATATATAAGCTTAGACCCAAGAAAAAACGAAGGAAGAAGCCGGGATGTAATCTCACTGAAAAAATGGGAAAATGCCCGGAAAGAAAACATGGAAATCACCGGAAATGCTTGACTATTCCTCATAAACACAAAGTTAAAATGAAGACAGCCAAAAAGGTTTCTTAACGCATTTTAGAGGAGGGAGAGAAACTAACCGGATAGTTGCTAGAAATAACAGGGATACGCCTGAAAAATTAGGATATGGCTGGAGATTTCAAAAACTGAATTTAGTTACATTTCGGGTTTTGAAAAATCGAAAATGGACAGTTCCATCTTTTTTAAAAAAAAATTGTTAGGATGGTGAAAAAACGAGTATGGTGTAATAACGAAAAATTGAAGATAATCTCATAAATAATGATAAATATAACAGATATATACGTTATTTTCCCTATTGACTTTTTTTTTTTTCTTTTCATATTCATAATTATCTTAACCTAGATCGTGAATTCCTAAATTTTGGACTAAAAATCCATTTTTAAGATAGGCTTAAGTGGGATCCTGCATATGTGCAGCAAGAGTTGGCTGACTCATAAAAACCCCATCTTTTATAGATTTATGCGACCAAAGGACCCTACCTAATACACAAGGATATCCCAAGTCATAGGTTCAAATGAAAAAAATAAAGGAAAACAGATTGATAAGGCTGCAACCCTATCAAAATAAGTAAAGCCTCACCTTATAACTCATAAAAAATTGCAATTCAAGCATTGAAAAACTTCTAAATTGATCATCTCAGTTTGAACATTATGGTTGTGAAAAAATTTAGAATTTCAAATTCTCAAAATAGTATATATTGCAATAAATCATCTAGACTACCCATTTCACCCTAAAAATAAGTGTTTATAGGTCCATAACATCTATACCATTTTTTGAGTTTTAAATTTTATTATCGGTATTGTAAATTGATTTTAGAGCCGTCATGAAGATTTCTGATGCCCAAAGTGCTTTCCATATGAGGATTTTAAGTGAGGCTTTATTTGTTTTCATAAACGCTAGACCCTATAGGCTAGACCATATAGAAACTTCATCCAAAAATAAACCACTCCCTGATGTCTAATGTAATGTACAAAAAATTCGATTCAATGAAAAATGATATGTTTTTGCCCCATGGCCAGCCATTTGGTACCTTGAACTACATGGCATGGAGAGGTTGAAGAAACTCTCAGGCTTCATTTGGACACCTTTAAAAAAAATGTTAGGAAAAAATTATTTATTGCAAAATACATTTAATGGAAAAATATCTCCTATAAAATGACATTTTACCTTTTGGATAGGATGCATACCCAAAGATACATTTTTCTATCTAGAATAAGGAATCTGACATTTTACCTTTTGGATAGGATGCATACCCAAAGATACATTTTTCTATCTAGAATAAGGAATCTCTAGAGAAAAAAGACGGTAGAGATAGAGAGAGAACGAAATGACTAAAGCAAGATCGAAGTAGAAAGAGATTTCACATAGAGATGAGAAAAAGAAATATAAGGACTTTTATAATGAGAGAGAGGATTTGGCAAGGAGAGAGACAAAGGGCGGGGGGAGAGAGACAGGATGTGATTGCCTGCTTCTATTCGGCCCCCAACTAGCTATATGCATATTTATTTATTTATTTATTTTGGCTCTATAAAGATATTCAGGGAAAATTAATTATTTTAGCTTGGGAGAATAACAATTTATTTATTTTGGTCTCAAAATAGATAAAACAAATCTTGACATCAATTTTTTTTTGCTCCGGATATTGGAACCAAACAATAGAAATGCGCAATCTCGCTAGAAAACTATTTCATGTTTATCTTTTTCCAAAGATCCAAACGTCCCCTTAATAATTTATTTGCGTCGAAGACACAACTCCTAGGCTAGAGTGTTAATCTCCAAGGCATCTCCCATAGATTTACCTATACAAGTATGGAAGTGACGGCCGTTTCCCATGAGATTCTTTAGAGCACCCATGAAAACGAGGAATCATCAGATGACCTTAAAATACGCATGACTTCAGGAAATATTAGCACATTCAAAAGAGAATTATGTGATTTGAATGCTTATATACAAGAGTATTTTCACATAAACCAAACGTGCCCTAAGCAAAATACTGATGCCACAACCAAACTAGGGCATAAAGATTCACAGAGACCTAATACCAATGAACAAGAGCTCAAGCTAAACAACCCATAATTATTAGGATCACAAAGCCTCTTCTTAGAAAGATACATCTAGAATCAAATAGATTCTAAAAGGTAAATAAATAAGGTTCTTCCACTCTCAACTTCAGGAACAGTACTTTGCTTTGCCCTTTTTTCTTCTTGTGAAGGGGAAAGGGATCAACACTCTTGGCAAGTTTAGATGGTACCATTAAAAGAAAGAGAGAAAGTTTAGCGGGTAAGGAGATGAAGGGCTTGTGGCTATGCATACTAAGATTAACACTCCTATCATGGCATTATTAGAACTACAAGAATATTGTACATACCAGCACAGTTAAGGATGTTTTTACTCTCCAGATTTTAAAGGTAGAGCTAGTAAGATGAATCTTGAATAGGAATCAGGGGTAATTTTCCTCCATATATCTCAGGAAGCTGGCTTTCGTCAATTTCATTCAGCAGCACTGACTGCTGATTTTTATTTTCAACAAAAACAATCTGCACAAAAGAGAGCAACCCAACAGGTCAATGCCAACAAAAAGTATACACAACATAAGAGAAAAAATCGTGTCAATGAACTCTCGAGAACCGTACAAATTGGAATCTCAGAGTGTCAGCAAACTGAGAGGATAGAGGGATACGGAGAAAAATGGTGGTATTTCAGTACATGGTTATAAGAGGGCACTCTGGAAAATCCATTGATAGCTGTGCCATAACGATTTTCTCAAACCTCAATTACTTGTCTGTGCAAACCGAATAGATGGATTGCACTAGATCTATAGAGTTTTTAATACGTATATTTTGCAAGAAAAAGGAAACAATAAGAACTAAAAAAAAAATCATTAAAATTGTGAAACTTTTTCAAAATTCATTTAGGAGGTCAAATCAACCAATTTATCAACAAAAATGATTACTTTAAAAAAAATCATTTCAACCAAGAACTTATCCATTGTTTTGTCAAAAATGCCCATCTTTTGGGTTTGAAATCCTTAACAAGCAAGGATATTTGATAATTGGGCCGAACTTAAGTATCGTGAGCTGAATAACGTAAATACCCCTCTACCAATCATGGCTCCCAAACCCATCACATCTTTTTTTCATAAAAATTTCTATTCTTGGCCAGAACAAGCAGTGGTATTTACTCAATGACCTCGGGGAAATACTAAAACTAGCTCCCCTTGTTTAGGGCCAAATATATAAATCTCTACTTCAAGGGTCAAAACCAGTAATACGCAGGTGCATAGAGGTAATTTGGCCCCACTTTTGTCATGGACTAAATTACTGAAATACACCTACTTGTTAAAAATTCCAAACTCTAAACCCTAAAAGATAGAGGTTCGGCCAAACATCTTTTTTCTAAGCTTAAGCTAGAACGGAGCTGGCGAGTGACGATTGCCCTATCTCAACAAGGGGTTTTGGAACCCAAGCTTATCTTATTATTATTCTTTGGGGAGTACTATCTGACAACACGGAACTACGGGGTTGGTCTAGAAACTGCTAGGGAATTCATATGTGAAAGATGAGAATTTACAGTAGTGAAAAAAAAAGGAGGCGGCAACAATTGGGTCCGGAGCTTTCTCTCTATCCCTCCCGAGCGATTAACCAGGAGCAATTCCCGATGTCTGAGAACCCGAGGGATCCACATCGACAAGGCTGATAGATCAAGACTTTTCCACTTATGATGAGCGGAGTGAGCCGAGCAAGCATAGAACCCCTC